CTGGCCAGATCAGATTTAACAGCCCCCGCCCTCATCTCCTCCCTCCTCCTTGAGTTTCCTTCATGATCCATGGTAACACTCTCCCCCTGTGTGTGTGTGTGTGTGTGTGTGTGTGTGTGTGTGTGTGTGGCGAGGTTACTGAGTGCGAGGGCAGTGATGTAATCAGGTGTGTTATAAGGTGTGAACAACAGATCTGATAAAAGCGTGCTCTACACAAACATGGCCGACATGTTTGGATCAAATCACATTGTTCAGTCGTCTGATAATAGAAACAAAGAATTATCACACCTGAACAAATTATGGGGGTTGTTGTACTAATATTTACTTAACAGTTATTGTTGCTGTACCATGACAACCATGTCTCTCCAACGTTGGTCATTTGTAAAAAAAATGTCCTTATTTTGATGACAGCCCTTTACTGTAAACACAGTGAACTATGTCATTTTTTTAGAATCATATTTTTTTTATTTATGTCCAAGTTATGCATTGGAAATGAATGAAAAACAAAAAAATGATTTCTAAACTAAATTTAAAGGAAAAATAAATACATGTAAATAAATTTAAATAATAATAATAATACAAAGGGTTGCTTCATCTAAAAATATATAGTATTTTTTATATTTCTAGTATTTTCGTATTATATTTGTGAGTGAAGGTACTTAATTACATTGCACACCTGTGAAATGGTGGTAGAAATGGTGGTAGAAGTCGCACTCCTACAGCAGGTGTCACATTTATACAACACAGGTCGCGTCAATGACGGGAACAAATGTTTGTTTGTTTGTTGTTCTAAAAGTGAGCAAGATATTGCCAAAAAAGGATTAACAGATATAGATATAACCTTACAAGATACAGATTTCTTAAAACCTGTTTTCTAATAACACTGCTACACTGTTGTTTGTTTGTTGTTGGTTAATAGTTGCACATCTGTTTAGTTAGTTTATTTAATACTATAATATGTCATTGTATATAATGTGCATTTTTATATTTGATATTTTTTACTCAGTTATTCTTTTATTGTATATATTGTGTATGTATTCAGATGACACAGTCATAAATGTTCGTGGGAGAACAGAAGCACAAACGGTAACACTCTGCATGACGGCCATTTCTATAATGCATTATAAACATATCTTGTAAAAAATAAGAATTCCAGAAGATTGTGACGGCTTAGCAGTTCTGGTAAGTAAGTTCTTTGTGTTATAAATAATAAACATTGTATGCAAGACGAGCAGTGAGAGTCTGAGCCAACCGAAGACTGATCATCAACACCTGAGGTTGAACATTGATCGGCTGTTTGCAACGAGTAAAGACGTCTGCAGAAATGTGAATAACAAATATCCCGAAATGTTTATAACCCCCCATTCTTAATTTATTTTGTAATTACAACTAAAGTTTACAATTAAGAGTTTGCAAACCCTGTACCTGTTTGCATACCTCACATTATTTGAGTGGATAATACATGTGATTTCAATAAATAATAAAGCAATAATGCTTTCACTCAGGAGGTCATTTTGCTCATACGATATTAAAAGGCACCACCAGCACATTATAAGTAAATTAAAGCTGCATAATACATGAAGAAGAGATGAGTCAGTTTGTTGGTTCTGCTCTAAATGCTGTTTCTGATTTTTTTTTAACTTTTTGACAAGAAGACAATTCCAGTTTGGTGGCAATGCAGTCTGTTTAAAACTGTAATATATTATCATTATAAGCATAGAGAAACAAAACTGTAACAATAGAGCGCACTATGGGTACTTTCTTTTTTACATAAAATAAAAAAAATTATAATTTGAATGTTCAAACGTTTGGTTTTCTTTGAACAAATAAGGTATAAACTGAAATATAGTTTCCTCAGGACGGTATAAAAAGGAGACACAGAAAAATAGAAGTCATAAAACATTTTAATAAATAAGATAAATAAATCCCTTTCAATTTTGTTTCTTCATAAAAACAATGCAGATTTTTTTTTCATGAAAACTTCTCAGAATTCTGAGATAGTAATCTAAATATTTCAGAAAAACAGGACTAATGTTTACTTCTCAAGTGAATACATTACGCTTCTGTAGGTTGTAACTACTTTTCTCTTTATAAATGTGCATAAAATCAGGTGGATGGAACTCTACCTAACATGTTTCCTGACTCTTTTTGGAACCAGGAATAACTCTATAAGCATCAGTAATAATCAGTGTGTGATTGGGTGAATCCACGCAGAAAGCCTGCAGAAACACTGATCTCAGAAGACTAATTAACTGGTAAATCTTACAAAGGTCAACAGTGTGTTAGCCAAGGATGAAGAGAGTAGCCACCATATGGCTAAAGATGCCCACAAGAAGTGTGTCTTTACTGCTCTTTTAATCTTTTGAGCTAATTGTGCTTCTTCTCCCCCCCGTCTTCTGGTGACTGGTGCCCAGGCAGACAAAATGTGGCCAAACTCTAATCTACTTAACTGCTTTCCACTTTGTTTTTCCAATTATGGTGGAGCCTCGTTATTGTGGAGCTGGAAGTCGCTGACATCGACATTAATTTTGCCCTCCGAGCACATTTTCTTCTTAGAGTTTAGCAGCCGTGAAACGGTTCTGACTGTGACGACAGTTGTTTTGGTTTATTTTTTTCAAATATATAGATTAATACAAAATAACCAATTGCACAAAAGAAATTCATTTTTAACAAGGATAATAAAATCAAATGACATGTGATACGGTGCTCAAAGTCAGGATTTAGAGAGGATTTAAATAAAAAAGTCAACATAAAAAAAAAAATCTGCCAATTTCTTAATATTTAATTCAATGTATTTACCCTTTTTTAAGGACATGACTCCCGCATGGTGGCCCTGCTCAAACCAACGTGACGTAGTGAGGAGGTGTATACCCTGAGCCTGAAATCTACACTTCAGTAGCTCTTACATACACCAAACCTTCCAGTTTCTAGAACCCTTTATTCCTAAAAAAATGGCAAATATGATTATTTATGTGGCTGTTGACAATGTATTCTGATTAATGGAGTGATAAAAATGGATATCAAAAATGTCCTTTGTAAAACCTTTGACTTTGACTCAAATATGTCATCAAAATGAAACAAGAATTGTGAACCTATAAAGTTTTCTGTTTGGGTCAACGCTGTGAATTCAAACAAATCTACTTGGTGAGGTTTAGGAAAAGATCGTGGTTTTGGTTAAAATAAGTTTTTAATTTAATTTATATACGTAAGTTAAGTATAGTCAACGTGAATAAGTCAGTTGTTGACGTTTGGTTTCACATGAACAGCAGCCTCTCGAGTGAAAGTCACGTGTTTGTTTGACCCACCCATCCACTCGTACCTCCTCCCTACGTAGACTTTCTCGCTCTTCGTCACCTGACTTTCAGAGCCCTTGCTCTTAGCGTCTATTGCCGTGGCGTGAAATGACACACGCTACTTGGTGAGACAAGACTGAGAGTTATCATCAACTGTGCAGATCACTCAACTGAGCTTGTTTTTGTCTTCAGCTCATTGTATTGGTTTTCTGACCCGCAACTGGCAGCTGTTTTCAGCAAACATTGTTCACCACCTGCCCAGCACCAACCGGCAGACAGATACAGTTATCGCCTGTCTGGTGAAGAAAGTGGAACATTTAGCTGCAAAAACAACAGAAGTTTTTCTCCAGAGTGGTGGAACAGACCTTAAAGGAGACTGATTATGATTCCAAACAAACATTAATGTTTCTGTGTGTCTGCTGGATGCAGCTAAGCCGATGATATGTCAGATGTTGTGGTTTGAGCTTGTTCCTCAGTGGAAACTCAATTAACGCAGCTTAAAAGCGTTCATATGTCGGATGTAAGATCAGTTATCAGTTAATAACAAGCACGGAACAAACAGTGAACAGAAAAACAAACAACAGTACAGATGCCAGCACACAGACGTCAGAAACATGGCAGCTTGCGTCCTCTGTGTGAAGAAACAAATGATGAAAATGAGCAGAAAGTTGCGTTAGAGGACGATCACTATACTGTCATTAACAACAGAAGTGTTGTTTGACACCCGCTTTGAATTATTGAACTGAATTTTGGTTTGTCTTTGCCTTTCTTGTCTTAATCACAGCAATAGTGCTTTTCATTCTGGCCCAAATTGTCTGGCATTTTGGTAAAACAACAAGTCAATTTCATTTAAAGATGATTGCAAAGGCTGCATGTTTCATATTCTCTGGTTGTTGGCAGCTTTGGTCCTCCAGTCTATTGTTGACTGCAGCTTAACACCGCTGCCTATGTAAATGTCACATGTATGAATTCTAGCTTCTTAATAATAAATGGGAGACCCTCATGAATGAGCTAAATTAGAGTTGGCTAAAACATCAGCCATTCAAAACTCTATTATTCCCTCTGTGACCTTTTTCTTCTGGCAGCCAGAGGGAAGCGGATGATCTCTAGTTTGTACAAAAAAAGAGTGAAATGGGAGTTAATAAGCAGCTCCTCCGCAAACACTGGGGGTCATTATGAATTGGAGGCAATCACACAGATCAAATATACAGCAGGCGGAAATGGAGCTGGAATTTTGGAGGGGAAATACAACAAATTGAAGAGGCTGGTAAATATAATAATGTGCGCCTCATGTAATCATCCCTTTTAAATGCAGATACGGAAGAGGAGCGTTGACTGATGGATGCCCTCGTGGACAGAGGAGACACGAGGAGACGGAGCCGCATGGGAACCGGTCTAAAGTTACAACTCTTCCAACAGAGAGTTTTAGAAGTCGTCGCTGTTGCTGTTTTTCTTCTGTTTTTTTGTCTGTTCGCAGACACGATGAAGATGCGAGCCTGAGCAGCGCCAATGTTCTGTCAATGCGACTGATTGATCCAGTAGATGAACAGTAAAGATTAAGAGGATCACAAATAGGCTTGCTGCTTACACAGCGCGTGGGGCTAATCCTCTCCCTCCACCACCTCCACCCCCACCCACCTCCCCCCTGGGCTCCCTTTTGAGGCGCTGCCACCGAGGAAGCACCCACAGACAGTGACGGACCCCGACGGCAACCTGTTGATCTGCCACAAAGGACCTCAGTCCATCTGCATTTCCACATCAGAGGCTGCAACACAGTACAGGATCCATCTGCCCACCTGGGACCGCTTGAGGCCGGGGAGCTGCATAATTCATATTTTTTGATGCAACAAACCCAGAAGGAACTTTAACATTTTATGCTTTCTTGATAATTCACAAACTTCAGAGAAGAGGACTAACGGTTTTGCAACAAAGTTTCTTATCTCCTTTCGCCATCACTCCAGGAAACATTTTTAGTAAGACAAAAAAAATAATGATGGAAGATCACCTGTTAAAGATCCCCATGGTGCCGTCCTCTTCCCCCAGTGAGTCTTCTGGGAGCGGCGGGACGGATGACAGCAGAGGAGGTAAGAGTTTCACATGACCACCGGGAGCAACAGGTGTCCATGAAGCCTGGAAGATGGGACACAAACTTGGCCTGTAGTCAGGAAAAGAAAAAGTAGACTTATAGAGGTTTTAGATATTATGATGTTTGTTTTTTTTAATTACAAATTTCTGTTTGAGTTTCTCAGATTTGACGTCCCAGATGACAAAACTGCTTTGTTCCTTCTATCTGTTTAAATGTTTGACTTAAAATGCACCTGTTAAATTTAACAAAATAGCTCCAAGGATTTCTTAAATACAAATACATTTGATCAGTAGTAGTAGTACTATGCAACTGTAAGCCATGCTGTCTGAATGTATCTATAATTAATGGGTTTATTCGGATTAATATCAGTATCTCAGCATCGTTTGTGTTAGCTGTTAATCTGCCTCCAGTCATTTTATTGTTTTAATTTCATAATCATGCACTAAATGAGATTTTCAGACCTAACCGGCTGTTGCAGGAGACTGAGCTGACAGTGCAGATGGCAGGCACATGTGTGAAACAATACCAGACAATATGAATGGCACTAACCGACCGACCCCGTGCGACTGTGTTTTGACCCACAGCCAAGAGTCCATCCCCGGGCAAAGCTCTGAGCCCGGCTCTGGTCTGCAAAGTGTGCGGAGACACCAGCAGCGGGAAACACTACGGCATCTACGCCTGCAACGGCTGCAGCGGCTTCTTCAAACGCAGCGTGAGGAGGAGGCTCATCTACAGGTAAGAGATGCCCATGTCTTTCCGAACAAAAGTGCAAATGTACAGTTTTGTGCCATCAGCATCTTCTTTTAAAAAATTGAATTCATCAACTGAAAATATGTGCTTATTTTACTTGAGCATAAAAACCTCAGTTGTTGTTTAGTGTGTCAGAGTATTAAAAACCTGTGATTTGGAAAAGTAAGATCCAATCCCTTTTTTGAGTCTTGATAGTGAATTAGTTTGTTTGTTTTTATTTTTGTAATTACTTAAAGTATCTCTGATTGTTTTGAGTGGACTCTCCCTTTTAAAGTCTCTGTTGTGGGTTATCAGGTGCCAGGCCGGTACAGGCATGTGTCCGGTGGACAAAGCTCATCGCAACCAGTGCCAGGCGTGTCGGCTGAAGAAGTGCTTGCAGGCCGGCATGAACAAGGACGGTGAGTGTGTTTAACGTGCAAAATCAGATAACGCGAGAAGCATTCACAGTCAGAGATTCAAATGTGAAACTGCTCAAAACTACAGATGTATCTCATGATTATTTCCTCCCTTTCCTTCCCCATCCTGTCCCTCAGCAGCAGTACAGAACGAGCGGCAGCCCCGCAGCACAGCTCAGGTCCGCCTGGACTCCATCGACGTGGACAATGACAAGGAACACCTGGCCACCACGCGGGAGCCCACCTCCTCTTTCTCATCCTCTTCTTCCTCCTCCTCTTCCTCCTCAGTCATCACGTGGCCCCACATCACCTCCTCCATCTCCATCACCTCCTCTGCGGCCCCCCAGCGCTGCATCAGTCCCCAGAACAACCACCGCTTCATGGCCAGCCTCATGACGGCCGAGACCTGCGCCAAGCTGGAGCCCGAGGACGGTGAGGAGGGTTTGGGGATTTGACTTCAGATTAGACAGAAGGGTTGCTTTAATTTCATGGTGCAATTTCACCTTGTGTCCTTCACCACAGATATTGTATCCAAACCTGTGATGCAGGTGAATTAAAGCCACAGGAAAACAGCATTTTAAGAGCATGTTGTCCCCATAAATTTATATATTTGCATGTATCAAGCCAGTGTTAGTAGTAAAAAGCTACAAAGGACCAAAGTTAAAATTTTAACACGCAAGCATGAGCTAGTTTGAGTTCTGCATGAGCCTGACCTCGTCTTCTCTGATTTCAGTTGACGAGAACATCGACGTGACGAGCAACGAGCCGGAGCAAGCGTCCTCGGAGTACCACATGGCTCTGTACCCGTCCAGCTCCGAAAACGTGTACGAGACCTCGGCGAGGCTGCTCTTCATGTCGGTGAAGTGGGCCAAGAACCTGCCGGTGTTCTCCAACCTGCCCTTCAGAGACCAGGTGAGATTCATACATATACGGTGGACTTTATTGTTAAATTTACAGTTTATTTTGATTTTGCAAGTAAAAGCGAGACAAGATACAGTGTTCAGAGAAATAAAAATTAAGAAAAATGCTGAGAAGATTGATGTTGTTGATCTTGACATTTTCACCAGAGTTGAAAACTTTTTTTATACTTTCAAAATAATTCAGTAATCACACTTGGGCTTCTAAAACTATGGAATTCTATTCACGCTAGGAAAATAAAATAAATAATAAGCTATAATATATATATATATAATTTTGCTGTCGGAAAAGACTGATTTTGGTTTAGTTTGATTATTAGTCTTTTGATTAAAATAATATATATAT